GTGGTTTTCTTGTATAATATATAAGTTATATGATAGACAGTCTGGTGCTGGAGGTGCTGTGTGGTGAGGGGCTGCTTGGTAGAGACGTGCGGGAGTAGCTTGTTGAAGGAGGTAGATGTGCAGGAGCTTCGTTAGAGAAGATGTTGCCTGTTGCTGGCCTCCTGGTTGAATGAAATGTTAACAGCGTGGAGCTTGCTGGAGGAGATGTTGCTTGTTCAGGAAAATGGGCAGAATGAGAGTTGGTTGGTGAGGAAGCTCAGAGAAGGACATGCTCGCTGGCGGGAGCGAGGAGAGGCGAGGGTCGCCAGGCAGCGGCAGAGGAGGAGGTGTTGCTTGTTCAAGAAGATTGGTCAGACTGAATCTCAAGGGAGAGACAGAGCTTATATACACCCAGCAGCCGCTATGAGTCATGGTAGGAAAACCCGAGAAGTAGCCGGTGAATAGTTTCGTTGCTAAGATACGGTAACATCTGGTTGGTTGCTTGGGAAGGCGGCACATTGGAATGTGATGGCAGGTGGTAGGCTGCTACGCAGTTAGTTTGTAGGGGAGACGTCCACTACACAGGTCTCTCTCCTCTGTGTTCCATTGTTGTTGTTCCTTGTTTTACCCGTTTTATAGTTTGTCTCCGTCTCATCTGTCGTTTTCCTTATGTAATATATTTTGGGGAATATATGTCTTTATCAACGGGAATGACAAAACTGCAGTCAAATCAGTCAGTTGAGTGGCCACAGACGTTCAGATTTCCAGAGCGATTATACCGAATTATTGATCGGTTGGGAAGCTCACATTACTGCAGTGCCTCAGGAAAATGTTGGTGGAGTAAGAGGAAAAACACCGCAGGCTGAAAAACATGAAAATACACAAGTAATATAATTATGGCAATGGCCGTCCTGGTCCGACTTTGAGAAGATATATGGCAGCCAAAACTTTACGCTGGTGGTTTTGTGGGAAATTTTTAGTTGGAAGTCTCTGGGAAGACAACTGCTTCTGTAATCTTATAGCCCGAATGTGGATGAAAGTGACAGATGTACGAAGTGACTTATTAATTACAGATAAGTAGTAAACAAATCCTAGGGAACTAGATTTCAGGAGGCAAGGAAAGTTACCATGTTAGTGAGTCTTCCTTGCAGCGTGACGCTCATGACAGTTTAAATCCTTTTTACTTAAGAGCAAATGCTTATGTGAATTAAAAAGGTGCATTAAGGAGGATTTAATCTGTAGGAAGTGAATATATTTTATCATAAGAGAGAGACTTATATACAGAAATAAGTCAAAATCCTTCATTGTAGCCAAACAAGAGGAAAGAGCCGCCAGTCGAGAGGTGCTGGATCCAGGATCAGTTGGGTGAGGAACATCCCACGTAACACCGCACACCCACTCCACCGTCTCAAGCTTCTTGGCTCCGGAGAGTCAAGATATTACTGATTTAATTATTTTTTCTTTAAATGAAGGAGAGAGAACACGTGTTGTTACGGTAGAGTATTAGCTTACTTTTACCAGCATCATTATGTCATAGTGTAAGTGGGTCAGTTAGACACATAGTCACCTGCACGCTGCAGGAGAAATACTTAACGGACCAACCTCAGTGAATCAAGCTCCTACGCCATTCAAATTGGAATCCGGCGAGGAAGAGGAAGCGTTCAGCACGTAAACCACCTCACCCTTCCTTCCCACACACTCAACAATTGTCGCTCATAAAACTTGCTGCTGGTGAATGTGATGTATTTCCTTCTTTGTGTACGAACCTCTGTCCTGCGTGGCAGTGAACAGTGGCATTACCCACATGAATCTGACCTATATATAGTGTCAATGAATATGATGCATTCTTTGTGTACGAACCTCTGTCCTGTATGGCAGTGAAAAGTGACATTACCCACATGAATCTGACCGACGTATATGTATGTATGTGTGCGTGTGTGTATGTACATGTATATGTGTATGTATATATGTATGTATATGTGTGTGTGTGTGTGTTTACATATATGTATATGTACTGTCAATGAATATGATGCATCTCTTTGTGTACGAACCTCTGTCCTGCATGGCAGTGAACAGTGACATTACCCATATGAATCTGACCTCTATACATTTATAGTTGTTAATGAATATGATGTATTTCTTTGTGTATGAACCTCTGTCCTGCGTGGCAGTGAGAAGTGATACCACCCTCAGTGTCAAGACCTGACTGAATTACTCAGAATAGGCAAACTGTACTACAAGCTCTGCCAATAAATTTGTTAAACTAAAAGCTCATAAAACTCTGTATTATTCGGTCATTCAGCAGACCTCTTAGACCTCACTCCGACGACAAGGTGGAACGATTTTCGTGTTTGTCTCAGAGACAACCAGTGCCGGATTTATACCTGTGGAGGCCCATGGGCAGCCTCTTTGTGGAGGCCCCCTCATTATAACTACCCAAGAAGGTGGGGTGGCGAGTGAAGCGAGCCTAAACATCTGGGAGTTCCGGGGGGCGCTGTAAGCCCCCCGGGAAAATTTTGAAATTTGAACACTTCTTTGGAGAATTTTGAAGCCATATGCAGTTATATTGAGGAAATTAGAACATTGAGAAATTTTTAATTAACTGCATATTTATTGATAGTGTACAAATTTCCAACACACACACACACACACACATCCAGCCTATACGTGCACGAACTGATCGCTATAAGAACAGCCCAGTCCCAACCATTGTAAAAATTATCAATAACTTGTAATAAATCAGTGTATTCACTCCCAGTAAACACTACTCCTTGCACTGTCACTTTGTTGAAATGAACTGTAGTTTGAGCTTTTCCCCATCTAGTTATTATATGTCTTTTTGTGTCACTTATGTTACTTGTATATTATTTGTAATTCGTAACCCATTCCCCAAATATGTAACTGTATATTTTCAGCCTTCTGGCTGCCAAGCTCTTTCAATAAACCGTTAATTATTATTATTATTTTACACACATACACACACACACACACACACACACACAAAAGTGAGACATGACTGGAGTCATTCATGTGGTTTCAAGTCGACCAGCTCTGATATAGCTACTACCTACTACCACACATGTGGAGGACCCTGGGCAGCTGCCCACTTTGCCCACTCCTGAATCCGGCCCTGGAGACAACACAACTCCCACTGACGGAACGGCGGCGTCTGATTGGCTGATTAGCTAACCAGTGAAAGACGAGGCGCAGTCAGGAAAGATTAGGAGGAGGAGAGGAGAAGACGAGAGAGAGTAAAAGAGAGAAGGAAAATAGGGAGAGGACTGGGAGAGATAAGGTGTGTAATAATGATAATAATAATTAACGTTATATTAAGATAACATGGCAGCCCGAAGGCTGAAAATATACAATAAACGGTGATAATAAGTTACATACTGTATGGTGAAACTGGGGAGTGGGTCACTTGATTGACAAAAGCTTTCAATACAAAAAAATATGAAACAGAGTCGACATATAGATTAACTATAGATCTGGTACTGTGGGAGATGGTCTTGTAAACAGAACCGTGACCTGATATTGACGCCAACATAAGTCCTTCCCAAGGTTCGGATAGCCGTCTGCCGTCAGAATTCCATTGACGTTCGCTAATGGGTGACATGACGAGGATGTGTGGATGTGTGTGTGTGTGTGTAGTACTGTGGGTTTGGGGGGGGGGTAGCCTTTGATCCCTCGCCTACAGTGGGTCTCTGGTGGGTGTGTGGCGGTGACCTGACCAGCATCAGAATGGGAACAATGGTTTGTCTCTCTGTCCAGCTGCCCTTTTGTCTCTCACCAACCTCATAAGGTTTGGAAGAATGTTATGGTTATGGTATATTAAATAATGTTTTAATAATACTTATGACAGATAAAGAAATGGTTATGGTAGATTAAAATTAACTAATGGTAAATTAAATAATACGTATGGTAGATGTAATAAGTTGTGGTAGATGAAATAATAGTTGTGGTAGATACCTTATTTATCGTCTCTATACTCCCAATTCCACCATAGTAGTGACTCAGTTTGGAGTGATTGGATCATGCTGCGGACAAAACTCCCTGTACACTGGGCAGTATCCGGTATGTTATGTACAGTACTTGAGGATCATTAGGTGAAGGAGATTGGAAGTATAATTATGTTTATCAGATTTTTCTTTGGTTTAAGGAGTGGGTTTTGTGGTCCCGACATAATAAGTGATGAAAAACAGCGTTATTAGTTTATAAACCAAACATATATATGATCCAGAAGTAGGTTCCAAATATCACCAACTGCTCAGTAAATTTCGTCCGCAGTTGTACTCACATGTAGTCAGTGCGTGGGGTGTTTCATACGTGTGAATAGGCAGGTGTGGGGGTCCAGATGTGTGTGTGAGAAAGTCAGGTTTGGTAAGATTAAAACAAATAATGATGAAAGAGTAAATAACATATTAAGAATGTGAAAAGTGAAGTGGATTCCTTAGGTTCCAAGCCATGGTAATATTCCCTGACCATGGTAGTCTGTACACCCCAGCCATGATAATAGTCCCCAGCCATGGTAGTATGAACACCCCAGCCATGGTAATAGTCCCCAGTCATGGTAATACTCCCCGACCATGATAGTCTGTACACCCCAGCCATGATAATAGTCCCCAGCCATGGTAGTATGAACACCCCAGCCATGGTAATAGTCCCCAGTCATGGTAATTTATATGGTGTTCGGTTATCAAATGTAGTAGGATCAGTATGCCACAGAACCACCTGTACCAACCCTCCCAGGACATCATAAGTTGCATGTAGCATTTCAGAAGTCATTGGACCCATCCTGGCAGATTTATTTTAAGATACTGTACAGTATATATATATATATATATATATATATATATATATATATATATATATATATATATATATATATATATATATATATATATATATATATATCATCGGTACATTATACTTGGAGAATAAAATAATCATAATCATATATTCCCAGGTAAAGAACATTGTACAGGTGTATGAGCTAACAAGGGTATGTGTGTGTGTTGCAGGCGGGGATGCGGTGGGTGGAGACCGTCTTCAATAAGAGGGAGTGTATCAAGTTTATTCCCAGCAGCAAAGACAATGCAAGGTTAGTAGGTTACTCTTTACTCGTCGTTGTTCACACTGCAGTATCCTCACTGGAGTTCTGGGACTGTTATTGAGGGGATTGGTGTATTTTATATATGAATTTTTTCTTATTTTGGTCTTTTTTTTATTGATTGTTGTATACTGTGATTCCTTTGGAGGTACAGTTGTATGGTATGTGTACGGTTCCTTGTCATGTTTTGTTACAGGTAAGGTTGTAGAGTTTTATGGAGGGTTTTCTATCTTGAGCCACAGTGCTTTATGATTACTACTACCTCTCAGCTGTTCTTACCTTCACCAGCCAGTGTTTGATAATTGCTGATATTCATAGTGGTGGTTTCAAGGTGAGATGCTAACCTTTTTTCTGTATAGTATTGTTAAAATTAACCTGTTAGCAAGGTGCACCTGTTTTTGACATTGTTAAAACAACCATGACACATTAGGCATGTTTATTGGTTGGTTGTTAACGTTAAGCTCACAACATTGTTGTTAATACACGTTTTTCAGGAACATAACCCCATCGTTAAAAAAGGAAGTAAGAGTACTGAAACAACTTGACTTTATTATCATTATCCACCTCTTCCTGGCACTCGGTGGTGACAGGCACATGCATTACTGCTGTAATGGGAAATGTAGATCATTACTGAAAAGGGGAGATTATATTGAAATGCCTATTGACCTTTAATTATATGAAAAAAGAAAGTTGTTGCAACGTCATGCTGTAAGGTGCCTATTTTGGGCTTTTAATTCTTTTATTCCTTTTTTCTTGTCACCACCCAGACTTTTATCTTTAGAATATAACACCAACAATGAACCTCTCAGGTAAAGTGGTAGTGTAGAATGGCACGTGAGTAATAAGGTGTATGTTCAGGGATGGTCATTATAGAAGGAATGATACACACATTATACCTTTATCATTATTCATTGAAAGCAAATAATAATAGTGTGACAATTTGAACCATCAATCTCAACTACAGGAACTTCACTTAGGTCCAATTAATACTAATAACTTTAACACTTAGACAAAATATAAACTGACCAATAGGTCTTATTTTATGATTAGAAAGAGAGATACAGTATTTCAGTTAACAGTTGCAACACTCATTAATCATACCAACCTAACCCTACTTGGTGCAAGTGTTTGGCAACAATACAGTGTCTATTGCAGTTAGTAAAGGAGTAAGTGATAATTGAGTGTTAAGTTCTGGTGACCATTATGGCCAAGATGTCATACAATACAGTTTATCTTTTTTATTATTTCTCCATTCTTCGTTTGTAATAAATATTTAAAAAAAAAAAATTCTGTACATTCTAACGAGTTTGCTACAATACATATGTATAGGTATAATAATATGCATACTGTACTGTATAAATTTATACAAACTGACATCGGTGATTGATGACTCCGTGATCTTTATAGCGCCTCTTGACAAAAACATTACAAGGAAAATTGTCAAGATTGTCAAGAACATTACAAGATAATTTATATTGCCCAAATATTTTACAGTAAACCTATTTGTTTCTTTCCTTCCTTTTTCATTAGTGACTTATGTTTGTTTCTTTACATTCTGATGAATTAACAGTGATATTTTTTTTTTAAATTTATTGGGCACCCCCCTACATCCTTGTGTAAGGTGAAGTGTAGAAGCATTTACAGCGCCCAACAGGGAAGCATGCTAAGTTCATGCTTGCCTTATGTCTCATGAGTTAAGGGCGTAGAAGTAGGTACCTGTTGTAAGTTGAAAGTTGTGAATTCGTATTCAGGGACAAGTTGTTGGAGCTTCTAATAACTTGATGACATACACCATTGACTCTTCAGGCTTCTACGCCCTTGACTCTAACAGTGATAGTTATATGAACAATATGGCAAAGAAGACGAGAGTCAACCTTTTTCTAGGCTTTATTATTCATATAACTGGGTAGTATGGCATCTGGAAGAGAACAAACGAATATTCTAGTAAGTGAAGGGAACAATGAAAATTACTAATATAGGTAATATAACTCCAAACAAAACTAAACCCAATGATAAGAAACATAACAAATGTACATACACACATAACAAGATAGAAAACATGGGTTCAAGTGTACAAGTTGTTACGCCGTCTCTTAATTTACTTTAATATCCAGGTTCTAGGCATAACCAAACAAAAAAGTGAAGTAAATCAAAAGGGAATAAAAATAAATAAAGTAAACCTTTAAGAATTTAATTAAATTAAATATTAACACAATAAAGAGCCTCATAGACATAAATAGGTACTCACATAGATATACCACCTTGGTGGCGACAGGAACAACACAGTAATAAAATAAAGTTAGTAACAGGTGACGGGTGTCACTCAAAAGAACGTGAACTGAATGACAAGAGGACTGGACTGAACTCTGTCTGCTGGTGGAGTGCTATATATAGGGTCGGCTCCCGCCAATGCGACCCACCGGTGAAACATGGGTCGTTTAACGATGCAGATGGTCGTTAGAGAAACAAAGAATGCTTGTTACAATACTAAATGAAGAAATAAGATGGGCTTGAACAAATAATAACAGTTAAAACCTTAACAGCACAGGGTAAGGTGACTAGATTATATAATAGTAAATATAACACATCAATACAGGAATAATATGGAACAACATGGAAGCATGTAATAAAAAAATAATAGAAAAATACAATACGGTCGTAACAAAGTGTAGCATAACTCACAAAACTGGGAACGTTAGTTCTGGAAGTCCGTTGTTTGATTAAGAATAATAATTTCGTTCCCCCCCCACCACGGCAGTGACTGCCTATGGTTAAACAAAATCGCTGGTCTGGCATCGATCCGGCCCTGTTGGTGCTGGAAAATCAGTATTGAAACAGTCGAATAATTTTTAAATATTGTATATAAATTCTGCTGTATAGACAGCTTCTTGAGGCAGCAACTCCAAAGTGGCATGGATAAATCCCAGCAGCCACTATTTTGCACAACACCTGAGTCGCCAAATTCACACTACCGGGTAACATTTTTGTAAAACCTTGAGAATCAATATGTTTTAATGCTAATTTAGGAGCTGATTTGATACCTTTTGCTTTTTGTCCTTTACAAAAAAAAAATAGCCACGTGCTTCCATGATACAATATTATTTTGCATTTTGAAATCATATTTTCTTAAGTTGTTTCTCAAACTTTTTAGTAAGTGGGGTGAATAAATAAAAGTTAACCTTTTCACCATTCGCAAAGAAAAGGGGATTTTCTTTCGTCATGGCAAGGCCTTTGAAAATTGATCTATGAATAGGATGTTAGGTCATCAGCGTAAGCCACTTGCCTGACCTCGGTTGTTTCATATTTTATTGTGTGTTGGAGCACGGATAGCTACCTACCTGACCTGACCTGACCGAACCTAATCTAACCTAATCTAAAGTAAAGTTTCGGTGGTTTGGAATTTTCATTGGTCTGGTCCCTAGCCTACTGGAGTAGTGAGGTTCAACCTGTATGAGACTATTGGAGTTGATAATTTGTCAGCAATGAATTTGTAAGTTTATTTAGTGATGAAAACAGAGAAATTGTTGGTGCTGATGAAACACTGCTACCAAAGGATGTTGCCTATTTTGTAGCTGATGTAGCATTGGTTTAGTATCAAATTCATCTACAATAGTGTGCTGTATATAAGAATTTTCTTTTCATAGGGGGAATCTAAGCTAAATTAAATGCAGTAAAATCAACAAGAAATTTTCATAATATTTTCCTGTTTCCTTTCCTTACCTCCTTTTCTCTGCTGTCAGACCTGGAAGAAGTGTATTGGAGTAAGTGATAGCAGAATGTGCATGATTCATCTTCATTATAGGTCATGGTTGACTGACCCAACCATGTGGGTATTGCAGCATGCACCAAACTTTCTCTCCCAATTTTTCAGACTAATTTTACTTATTCCTATGAATGAACAGAATGCATTTTTTGTAAAAAAAATAAATAAATAATAATAACTATCGTATTTTCTAGACATTGGAAACATACCGCGTAGGCAAACAAACTTTGGTTTGTGATCCACACATACATAATTTACTTTTAGGATTTTGATTACATTTGCAATTTCCAATTAGATTATTGCTTGTGAATATAAGTCATCCATGAAGCTCTTTTATTCTTATATTTGCTGCTTTTTATATGGTGTTCTTTTTTCTCTCGTGTTTACCCGTAATTTATTAATCTTGTAAAGCTAAAGAGATCAGCTTACTGATTCCTCACACTATATGAAAAACTTGACATAGTTTGTGGCACACACCACTTTTCTCAATGCTGCTAATGAGCCACCTTTGAGTTGAGATGGTCTCATCCAAAGATCTCTTTAGCATATTCTTGATTTTCTTTTTTTATGGGATCATTAGTGATTATAAGTACTGTACAGTATTTCTTTTCCTTTTCATTGGTTTGATATTCATATAAATATTCCTTATTACTTTTGAGAACTGCTTAATAATTTTGAAGCAAGATGCTTGAAATTAATAATTCATAAGACTTTACGAGAAAGGGGACCAAATAGCACATTGATCTCTGGATTTTACATTGCTTGCTAAAGAATGAAGCTGGGGAGGCCTGTTGCTTACATTAGTTTACTGCCCACTAAAGACTAATGGGGGGTATATAAGTCACTTGTGATAATGTTTTTTCTCATAAATTCTTGTGTACTGTACAGTCACAATCCAAAGTTTCGACACCCCCTTGGCTGGGTGTTCGCCGAGGCCAGGGTTGAGGTAAGGCTGGGTGATGGGACACAGACATTCCACCAACACAACACTCCGAGACTCACAGCACACGAGCATGGAAGGAAATTTTTACAAATTGTAAACATGACTATATGAATTCCTAGTATGTGTGAAACCATAATACAGGTCAAACGACCCACAACGGGGACTGGGGGGCGGAAAAAAAAAGAACAGAAAGAAATTGAAAATAGAGAACGAAAAGGTTATACCTGTAAAAGAGAGAGAGTGAAGCAACATTGCGGTGAAGAGAAAGGGAAGAGAGATTGTCGA